TTATTAAATAAAAAATAAAAAATGAATTAAAGAAATATAAAAAAGGAGAAATTTTAAATAGTTAGTTTGGTATTAACATCAATATATTTTTATTTTTTATAATAATTTTATATTTTATTCAAAAATTAAAACAATATTGCTTTCTTAAAACCACATAAAACCATATTATAATATCAAGTAAAACAAAAAAAAAACGAAACACTAAAATTGAGATATATTTCACTACATTGCATTAGTATTTTTCTAATTCCTTTTAAAAAGTTACAAAAAAGTTACGTGCATCAGCGCGTGGAACTTCACGTAATCCAAATCTAGTACCAAAATCAACCCCTTCTACACGTGACCCATGAACTGAAATGCTTTTTCTCTTGAAGATGAAAAAAAAAGAAAATTTAAAAATGCTTTTCAAATATATTATAATATTTAATAATTTTTATTATTATAAAAAGCATTTTATACATGGAGTGAAAAGGTTTTGGATGAAAGGGTTAGAGAACTAAAGCTTTTTCTATTTAAATTTTTAGTTTGCACCCTCCTTTAAATCATATTTTCATTTTATACTTTATTACATTTTGATTAATTAATTTAAATCATTAAATATTTATAATAAAATCAAGTATATTTTATAACAAAATACATCAGTAAAAAAAATGACAACTACAACTAAAATATACTGGGTAATGTCAAAGACATATATTTACTTTCGCGATACATGCACTTGGGAAGAAACGTTAAGATTTAAATTCCCGACCAACGTGGCTAGCTATTTACATGTTAGGACTGTTGTCATCGATCAATTTAACCCAAGTAAATGACTAAACTTTCACTTTCATAAAAAAAACTAGACAAATTGACTAAATGCTTTGTTGAAATCCAATTAAATCAACTCCAACTTTCGTTAGAATCAAAATGGATTAAAATTCCAACATTCGTTTTAAGAGCAATTGATCAATACCAAAACCTTTATCCTAAACGGCGATTACTCAGTAAAACAATAACTAAATCAACACAAGAAACAAGTTATTTATTAAGTTCCAACAAAATTATAGATAGAGTAAATCTAAACAAGTAAGAGAACTACATGAGATGCAACCTATTTAACGACTAACATCAACAAAAATCAAAAAATGAACAATGAGTAACTAAGCGAACATGTGTAAAAAATTAAACTACGTGCATGAAATTGAACAAATGCAGAAAATATATTAATCTAACCTAACGTGTGGAAATTTAAAATGTGCAGAAATTTATGAGATTTGCAAAGTAAACCCCCCCTCTCTCTCTCTCTCTCTCTCTCTCTCTCTATATATATATATATTTTGATTCTCATCTAAATCATCAACTTAAAATCAACAACATATTATGGTTTGGTTTATGTGTACGAGGTGGATCGTGGTTTGGTTTCTTAGCATGATTAATTCATTCTTCATATGTCGTACATGTTTCCTATACAGTAGCTTGGTCTCTCGGGATGCCTATTCCACCCCCACCGTGTTTTAACGGCATTGTCCGTGCATCGACAAACGGCAACCTTGTTTCAAAAGAGCACCGTCTTGTTAGTTATCCATTTTTTATATTTGATTTAATTTAATTTACTTAGAATTAATAATCAATTAAATATGAATATACATACAATAATAAATTTCTTTATTTAGAAATACGCTTCCGTATTTATTTTCACATCCAAATCATTTGCCCAATCATCACCAAGATCGTCTTCTGCATTGAGTTTCAAATCACTGTGTAAGATTCTTCCGTAACTTCAATCAATCTCGAATTTTAACAATGGGGTTTTCCTCTTATCAACAACATCGTTTCCATTAATATACAATATGTTGACTTACTGCATTCCTTTTCAATTGTTGACTTTAGGTGAATTTTTTATTGATTTAAGATGCAAGCTATAAATTTAGGTATCAAAGGAAGCGTAATTCAAAGCAATATTGGCAGGGTTGATCCTGGTCTGGGTCAATTCGGAAACAGAGCAATTACTGTCTGCATGAGTCGGAGTGAAAGGCGTTCTTGTTTCGGATTGCGGTCCGGTTCGGGTCCTACGGGCCTTGAGCTTGGCCGTGTAGGTCTCGGTTCTGGAAGCATGTTTCGATCCTCTGCCAAGTCCAGATCAGTCAAATCCCCAGATTCTGGTTTGTGCTTCTATCTCTCTATGTGGTTTTGATATTGTGCACTGTAAGTGTTTGATCATTTGTTTGATCTTCGGATTTAGATTGTTATCTTGACCTTGATCATATTAGGTTTAATGATATTGAATTTCAGTTACCTGAAATTCAACTCTGCAAACGAAGGGATTCAATTGTGGCTGGTTGCTATAATATAATTATCTTCTAATGAGCAGCAAATTTGATTATACTTTAGATGGAGATATTGAAGAAGATGCTCCTCTAAAGAGTCCATCAAGATCTTCTGGTTCAGTTTTGCCATATGTTGGTGTTGCTAGTCTGGGAGCCATATTGTTTGGATATCATTTAGGGTATGTACCTTGAGATTGCTAGATTCTTATGTATCATAAAACTCATCAACTGAAATCATCATTTGTGTGAGTATATATATATATATATATATATATATATATATATATATGAAACCTCATTATTCATTAGATTACTTTCCAAAAAGGCCTTGAGGAGAGACGTGAGGTTCCAACATACACCGAAAAGAATAGGTCCAAGTCTAGCCGATGTGGGACTCTAACAAGCCTCCTCCAATGGAGGCTAGACAGGCACAAATTGATCCAGAGTCGAGCCCCTAGAGTGTAGACCTTTTCTCGGATGCCATGATAGAATGTGGAATCCCATGAGATTACTCTTCAAAGGATCCCCAACAATTATATCTGCTCTGAGTTTAGCCAATGTGGGACTCTAACAATTAGATTCAATCTAAGTCTAGCCAACGTTTTGGACTCTAACAATTAGATTCGTTCAGTGTAGTGAATGGTGCACTGGATTACCTTGCAAAGGATCTTGGTATTGCGGAAAATGCTGTTCTTCAAGGTAAGTTGTGCTGAATTTCAATATTGTGGTTATTACAAAGCTGCATCTGGGTAAGGTCTACAATTTTTACATGATATGTCATATGGTATTTCCTTAACATTTTTGTGTGTGTGTAGGATGGGTTGTTAGCACACTTCTTGCTGGTGCCACTGTTGGTTCGTTTACAGGGGGATCACTGGCAGATTATTTTGGAAGGAAAAAAACTTTTATACTGGATGCAATCCCGCTTACAGTTGGAGCATTTCTTTGGTTAGTTATGCATCTAATTCTTCTTATTGCTTTCTTATGACTGTAAATGTTCTTATAATTATATAAATTTTCCAGTGCCACAGCTAAGAACGTAGAAACCATGATATTAGGCCGCTTGTTTTGTGGCATTGGAATTGGCATTTCATCTGCTATTGTCCCTCTGTACATATCTGAGGTAAACTTATCATAAGCTTATTCTGACTTTCTGTTCGACATCCTTGTTTCTTCTACATGTTTGCTCACACTCTTGCACAAGCCTAGAGTCTTCATGGAAACAACTGCTCTACTCTTTGAGGTAGAGGTCAAGTCTACATACATCTCACCCCCCAACCCTACTATCGAGTGGAGATTTACTGGGTCAGTTTGGTTTTTGTTTGACATCCTTATGAATCATACCTAACATCCTTCTATTGTTTAGATCTCTCCAACTGAAATTCGTGGTACACTTGGATCTATCAACCAGTTATTTATTTGCATTGGGATTCTTGCAGCTTTGGTGGCTGGATTACCCCTAGCCGGAAATCATATATGGTAATTCTCAATCATCCTTCACATATATTGGCAGTATTCAGCAACAGACTAATAAAACCAAACCAAACCAATAAATCCCACTTGGAAGTAGGGTCTTTTTTTTTGGGGGGGGGGGGGGTTTGAGATGTAGGCTGACCTGACCTCTATCCCAAAGAGTAGAGAGGATGTTTCCAGACTAATGCATCGACTAATGAAATAAACTATGCAATATAAGATATTAGGAAGGGACCATTGTATTTATGAATTTTATTGGCTTGGTGCTACAACCAAAATAACGGATTGTCATTTCATGCCTATCCGAGAACCCACAAAGTTAAAAAAGGCTTGTGGCACCTTGATGTTAATTTTTTTGGGTTAATTATTTTCATTTCGTGCCTATCCGACTTTTGGGTTAATTTTGTTCACACCAAATTGTGATTCATACTGTTTACTTGAAGTTCAGATTTCGTAACACGTTTCTATGAAGCAGATGTATTAGCTTGTCTAGTGTTGTGCAGGTGGAGAGTAATGTTTGGCATTGCCGTTATCCCCTCTGTTTTACTGGCGCTTGGAATGGCATTTTCTCCAGAGAGTCCACGATGGCTTGTTCAGGTTTCTAATAAGTTATTTTCTGCAGCATGACCACTTTTTTTTAAGAGTTCATGGTGCATCATTTCAACTATTTGTTCTGTTTATTGTTAATGATACTGAGCTAGAATTTACTTTGCAGCAAAGGAAAATTTCCCAAGCTGAGCAAGCAATTAAAAAACTATATGGAAAGGACAGGGTCACAGAGCTTATAGAGGATTTAAATTCATCAAGTCAAGGTTCTGAAGAACAAGAAGCTGGTTGGTTTGATCTTTTCAGCTCCCGTTATTTCAAAGGTATAACAAAATCAGCGTGTCATATATTCTGGCGTCATACTTTTACTACAACAAAATAGGCCTTATAGGATGCCGAGGTCTAAATGTCCTAATAGACTGTTTTATATGACTTAATTATTGGTTATAAAGCTCTTTATACTCCAAAAAGTGAATACATTATTGCATATATGTTGGAACTGTTGGACACCAATCTTTTTGCTTCTAGTGATAAAAAACATTAAACTCATACAAGAAGAGGCAAGTGGTCTCGTTTTTACATGTCTAATTTTCTGTACTTGTATCATATCATCGTTTATTAATTGCAATATATATACTGTGAAAGATTAACATGTAATCTCTTGTGACAGTTGTGAGTGTTGGTGCCTCGCTATTCTTGTTTCAACAGTTGGCTGGGATAAATGCTGTCGTATATTATTCTACTTCAGTTTTCCGCAGTGCGGGAGTTGCATCTGATGTGGCTGCAAGTGCTCTAGTTGGGGCGGCTAATGTTTTCGGTTAGATGATCTTCAATCTTGATCTTCAGGGTGTTCCTATTTGCAGATGAAAACAATTATAGTCTCGATTTAAAATTTTATTTTCTTGCAGGCACAATGATAGCAACTTCTTTAATGGACAAAAAAGGACGGAAAAGTCTTCTTATCACAAGCTTTACTGGAATGGTATCATCACATATAATTGTCATAATAAACCAAACCAAACAAGCCCATATTATCCTACCCGGAGGCCGGAGGTCGGAGGTGGGGTCTAGGGAGAGTGTGGAGGGTGAAATGTACGCATACCTGACCTCGACCCCAAATAATAAAGCGGTCGTTTTCGTGAAAACCCCCCGGATTGTGGAAAAAAACATAAGAATAACAAGAAAGGAAAGTTGAAACAGGAAAGGGACTGCTAAAATTTGAAAAACGGGTTAAAGTAAGCACCAAAATTCAATCAGACAAGCAAACAAAACATACAAACGGAAGCAGGTACAAGAAAAACAAAACCAAGGTAGGATTGAGGAGGTCCAACTGCCAGCTCACTAACCCTACCCCTATCCTCTCTCTCGAGATCCTTTCCTCCCTTGTAGCTACAGATCCCGACCCCTAGTCTGCTACCCTAATGATATATCACAAGTTTGTATTTGTATATTAGTTCATTTTCTTGTTTTTATTGGTAAAAGGCTGCTTCAATGCTGCTGCTCTCTTTGTCCTTCACTTGGAAGGTCCTGGCACCATATTCTGGACCCCTTGCTGTTATTGGGACCGTCTTGTGAGTCAAATTATCGATTCTTTAAGTTTAGTACTTATACCTTATGGTCCCTTCATGACTTTTAATGCTAGTTAATTATGGTCGTTAATAAATTCACTTAATGTTTGTCAGGTACGTGCTCTCGTTCTCCCTTGGTGCTGGTCCAGTCCCTGCCCTTTTACTACCCGAGATCTTCGCCTCTAGAATCAGAGCGAAAGCGGTTGCATTGTCACTTGGCATGCATTGGGTAAGTTACGAACTGAATAAACAACATTACTAATGTTAGGATATGTGGAATCTTTTTGAATCTTTCTCCAAAAGAGCCCTTATTTCCCACACACACACACACACACACATATATATATACAAGTTTGATGATCCGTGTCTAGACGACGTTGGACTTCAACATGCCTCTCATTCAGAGGCTAGATGGTTCCCTTTAAAATGGAGGCAAAAGAGTTTGTTTAGTCTGCAAGGGTGCATTTGGTACATGGACAAGAGTGGACGAACGAGAGTGAGGTAAACTAGTGAAAGAACTTGGGAGGGTTTTAGAGTTTTAATTTGACATGGGTATTTAGTAATTTACCAATTTTGTCACATTTTATGTCCACTTAGGGCCCGTTCTAAATGTGTGACAACAAGTTTTTTTTACTTCATGTCCGTCTTGTCTTGTGTACAAAACTGATGTGGTAGACCCCGATTCCAATATCATGCCAGGACTTGTGAAACCCATTTGAATCTTCCTTAAAAAGAGCCCTTTTAGAGAGATGAGAGGTTCCTCATATAAATGTGTGTGTGTATATATACACACCAGTTTGATGATCCGTGTCTAAGTATATGTGGGACTCCAACATCTAATTAATATGGTCTTTATGACCAACAAACGGTTAACATTTGATCAGATAACAAACTTCTTCATCGGCTTGTGTTTTTTGAGCATCGTGACAACAATTGGCATAAGCAAAGTGTACCTCGGATTTGCCATCATCTGTCTTCTTGCCGTTATATACATAGCCGCTAAAGTTGTGGAAACAAAGGGGCGGTCGTTGGAGGACATTGAACGTGAACTTAGCCCCGCCATCTAAAGAATACATAATCTTGATGGGAACAATAAGGTAGCTTTTGAATCTCATTTGATCTTTGACGTGGGATAATTCTTAGATCAGTAATTTTTGAGGTATAATATATATATATATATATATATATATATATATATATATATATATATATAGGAGCGATCAAATTAAAACAACTCCAATTTGTAAAAACCGTAAAAACTACTATCATCCGTCTTAATCTTATGAAATATTTTCATGAAATTGTTTAATCTTGTGAAATTGTTTCATATAATATTTTTTTTGATGAAGTTGTTTCAKATATGGTTATGAAATTGTTTCATATACTACTTAATGAAATTTTAATGAAACAGTTTCATGTATTTCTCTAAAATTAAAATAATGAAGATGATAATATCCATGATTAACATCCTCCACAATAAAAATGAATAATCAACCTCTCATAATTACAAAAAAATGAACAAAATAAAAAATTATGATTGATGGAACGAGGTTTTTACGGTTTTTACAAATTGAGTGGTTTTCATTTGATCGCTCCCCTATATATATATATATATATATAGGCTGCCGATACTCATGCACACTCCTCACATTTGATGAAGTTTGAGTTCCTTGACATCCTCGGAGGCCGAGCTTTACCACTAACTTGGGCACCGTTGGGTCAATGACCCTTTGGTTTCCTAGACGCAGTTTCATTTAGTTTTTCTTTGTTAATGGTCGGAACGTGCAACTAATGCAGATTTTTCAACGATGGCGCTGCGATTGTTTAGATCGTTAGCCAAATTTTCTACATCAAAACTAGAAGTCTCCGCATGTTCCATGCCAAAATGGTTCAAGTCCAACACGAGTAGTTTTGGTGCTAAAACGCAGTGTCAGGTGCTCGAAGGAATACGTGAAAACATGCATCGATTTATCTTCTTGAATCTGAGTTTTGGGTAGCATTCGAACCTTATGATTATTAGGGTGTTAGAAAGATTAATAAAACCTTTTTTTTTTTAATATTATTTTGCGAATGATCGAGTCTTAAATATTTATTATGACAAATATTCTAAATATATGTAAATTTTGTATCCTTAATATTATTTAAGAGTGGAATATTCATTTTAGATAATATGCTTTCAAAATCAATCCTTTTTTATTAACATGGATATCCAACCCGCTATATGTGCCGATTAATCTCAGGTCGACCATCTACTTTGCAGATAGTTCGGAGTCACCGCATTTGAACCTCCGTGACCACAAGAGGATTTTTATTCCTCCTTGGACAAAATCAATCTTTTGTTTGCTATGTTGTAAAAAAGACAACATATCAACACTCAAGTTGACCGGTGTAATGTTAACATCAGTGGTAGATCCAGAAAGTCATATGACCACGGCACACTTAAGGTTATTAAAAAAAAAGGTCAAGTTGAATAATTCATCCACATCAAATGAGATTTTGGTTAAATGTTCTTAGATTATTCGGTTTTTGAGTTATTAACTTTTGGTTGGGGGCATGCAACATGTGCTCCTACTCTTGCCCCATGGGTGATTTCAAACGGTTTCAAAATACATGTTTATAATAAAAAAATATATAATTTTAGAATTATGTAATGATTATAATTTTTTAATTAATTAAAAGCCAATTTTAACCTTGATAATAAAGAAAGTAATAATTTTTTATAATTTCATAATTAAAGATAAAATTGGACGAAGACACTTAAGGGCCGTTTACTAAAACACTAATCCGGTGAGTGCTTGTCGGGTAATTTTTCTTACTGGATTAACATGGCAAGTGTTGAGAATGTTACCCGGTAAGAGCGATGATAAGAATGGAGAGTCTTACCCGGTAAGTGAAGGTGATGACTCTTACCCGGGTAAGCGTTTACCATGTAAATTATTGTATACGACACCATTTTAATTTACTACAATCTTACCTAATAAAATAAATTATATTGTTGACTTCAACCGATAAGCACTTACCGGGTCCTTACTTTTAAAAGTGAATCTTTATTTTAAAATTAATTAATATAAAAATATAAATATTTATTTGGAGTCGCGGAAACTTGTTTTTTAAAACGTTACCTGATATATTTGATGATAAATGTATTTTTCGAGAAAAAAAAAAAGAATGTGAATACGTAATTTTATGCGCAATTTGCAGTAAACTATAAATTTGGTCCTTGTAGTTTGTTTAAAATAATACTTTTAGTCCTTACCGTTTTAAAATTATAAGATGATTATTATGATTTATAAAAATATTCAGATTTAGTCCCTTCTTATAATAGCCGTTAAAAATGTTATGTTAAATAAGGATCATTTTCGTTTTTTATCGATTTTTTTTTCTTTTACCTAATCAAAAATAATTTTATGGTTTTAGTTATATGGTTTTGATTGGGTAAAAAACGAAAGATAGATGAAAGGACGAAAATACATCTTATTTAATAAAATTATTTAAATACTGTTAAAAAGAAGACCAAATCAGACGTTCTTATAGACCACAATGACATCATATAATTCAAAACTTTATAGACAAAAAATATCGTTTTTGACAAACCGCAAGGACCAAATTTCTGGTTTATTCTTTTGTAATTACAGTTTTTAATATTTGATTGTATGATTATATATTTATTTAAAATAAAATTGATTTTAAAACATTTTGACTTTGAAAAGTCTAGATTACGTGGATTCTAATTTTTGGAAAATGAAACATTAATGAAAATAAAATTGTCCAATATTTAAGTTTGGGCAAAAAGTTATAATAAATCTTGAAATCCTATATTATATTTTAAATAGGCTAGAAATATATTTATATAATAAAGCGTGATATATTTTGATTTATTATTTTATTTTTGTTATTTATATTTGTTAATTTTATAATAAGATTTTGTATGATTTAAAAAAACGATAATGTTTTCATATTTTAATAAATATAAATTTGAAAAGAATATATTGATCTCATTTTTTTTAATAATTTTTTTCAGTTCAATTTTTTGTTATTATAATTTAATTTAAGGAATAACGATGTAGTTTTTTTAGTTTTAATGATATAACGTTTTTTATAAAGATAATAATTAAGTATTATGTTAGAATTAGATTATTATTCTAATTATATTTTAGATTTTTTATATTTAAAATGAGATATTTATCCAATATTTGATTATGTTTATCTGCAATTAATTAGACGAATTCAAATATATAACTTTAAAAAGTTATACTCATGCGCAATTTATTTATAATCTTGAATATAAAATAATTTGCATCATTAAACGGTTCTTGATACATTAAAGATGGTTTTCAAGAATTTAACCCAAATTCTTTATAATATAATACATATATATTAAATACGCTAATTTTTTTGCAAACGTGAGGAACAAATCTATAATACGAGAATTGCAGGAATGACTTCAGGTAAATTTAACGAACATAAGGGGCAAAAAGATGTAATTCAATAATGCTATTAAATAAAAAGACTAAAATAACCCTTTTTCACAATATACATCTGGTCATCGTCATTGAATATAAAGAGGATCTACGGTTGCACATGTTTTATCACGGTTATTACAAAAAGTGGGAGTTCGTATTACAACCCAACCATACATAACTAATATTCGTTTATTGTTAATTATATATCATTAAATAGTTATTTAAATCAAATTGTATTTAAATATATGAGAAAATATTATGACTTTCAAAAGTCTAATTTACTAGATTCCAAAGTGTAATACACATCAAAGTAGGTGCATGTATGTATAGGCATATAAATATAGGCCTAATAGTTCCACAGTGGACTAGGTCTCCACTTTATACACACAAAAAAGGGAAGCTTATAACATATACATATACATATACATATACATATACATATGTAGAGAAAGGTTCATTTAAAAAGTAATAAGTATTTAAGAAGTAAAGAAGTGATCACATTTCTTCATTTAGTCAACATTTGTGGCTTTAACTATAAAGTACCGGATTATTTTGACGCATGAGTATGAGAAAAATAGAATGGTAGTTTCGTAGATTTTACAAATAAATGACAAATAGATGCATATGTGAACCTGTGTGATTCACATATGAATTATATGTTCATATGTGAATTGTTAATTAGTTAATATGTTAACTATTTAACTGATTCACATATTAACCAATATGCCGTCTATTTGTAAAAGTTACGAAACTACTCTATCTATTTTTCGCATAGCCTCAAAATTATCAAAGGGTGATTCCCAAAATTGGGAGACTAGTCTAATAAAAGATGACTAAAACTAAGAAACAAGAATAATAAAAAGCATGAAGAACATGAACTTAAACTTAAAAACAAGAGAGGATATAAGTCACAATTTCATAATGTGAAACTTTTCTACATGTAAGTTTTGTTTTAGAAATAGGCTAAAAGCGTTCATATTGTGAAACAAATACTCTAAATCTTAGTCTTAGATAGCAAAAAATCATATGAAATAACATATGATGCACTAATTCTCAAGATTATCACAATTTCATAGGTTTTTTAAAAGAAGCCCCAATATGAGGAGAGAAGCTTGAGAATAAAAGAACCAAAAAAACTCATACAAACGGTTAATTGAGATGATCAAAACCGATGTATTTAAAAATCTGGTTATAATTATATTTTTAAAAAATAAATAGACTTTCCCTACATTTTAACTCGAAAATTGATGAAATATAAAAAATTAGAACAAAACAAATTACACTAAAATAACGATCACTATTATTTTTAACTTTATATATTTTTCATCTTTTTTTTCGTGATTATTTGATTCTTTCCTTTTTGAGGTTCTTTCTATGTTCTTTTCATACAATCAAGTAAAATAAATTTAAAAACATACTATAAATATAATAACGTACTTATGAACGACCTTCAACGTGTAGTTTGGTTGGAAAAAGATGAGACAATTTTGCTCAAATACAAGATATGTCCTGGATTCGATCCCAAACCTCCTATTAGCCTCAGCCGTTGAAAAGAATGTCCCTTATATTAGTGTCCTTGATGACGGATTCCGTATGAGACCTGTTGGGATTGCCGTTTTACTCAAATTTATTTATGAACAAAACTAGAATGGCCATCAATATATATATATATATATATATAGAGAGAGAGAGAGAGAGAGAGAGAGAGAGAGAGAGAGAGAGAGAGGGAGATTGGATCATGTAACAACAATTAGAGAAAAAATCAAATGCAAACCTAAAAAATATTACAAACATGTGGATTTCATCTTAATCTTATATGTTAAGGTATATTCAAGATGTTCCACATTTGGGTTAGTGGTGGATTGCATGTTTGTTCTTTTTCTTTGGATTTTCGATACAGCTTATGCCTACAGATTAATCTTTCAGACGCTCATGAATAGATGAGATTCTGACCGCGTTCAGATTCAAACCCAGAGCAGATTAGGTTTTCCAACGTAGTATTTTCCTTGGTTGGTGAAGTTAAAAGGGTTGGAGTAGAAGTGCATGCAAGTGGTGTACGACACATGCAACATCCCATAACTTGTGCTCAAAGTAAACCCAATTTCAACTCTTTTCCATCATTTTATAGCCCTACGTAGACTTAGAACCAGTCTTCATGCAAATCAATAGCAACTCATCCATCAACATGCCTCTTCATCCTCATACCAAACGTGCATTCCCCATACCCATTATCTTCCACTTTTTTCATTCCAAAAACACCCTTTTGCACTTGTTCATCTTCTTGATTAGTTTGTCAATCGGTTTCGTTGCTGCTTTCTACCTTCGCGACTTGTTTGCCGCCATTCAAACCGCCATTTTTTCTGTTCTCCCTCCATTTTTATCATCAACACCACCATTTCTTGCTTTAACCCTACCACCACCACCACCAACTTCAACCATACCATGGCCACCATTATCATTACCACATGAAGATACTCTATCACCACCACCGGAATCATCATCAGAACCACCGCCACCACCACCGGAATCATCATCAGAACCACCGCCACCACCACCGGAATCATCATCAGAACCACCGCCACCACCACCGGAATCATTATCACATGGAGAAACGCTATCCCTGTCACCATCTTCACAACCACCATCATCACCACCTCAAGATACTCGATCTTCACAACCAATATCATCGCCACCGATAGAGTCGGCCATGGATGTTTCAGTGAAAGAACAAATACCCATGATGCACAATGGAAGTGATGAAGATTTGGTATCGAGGGTGATGACAATTTCGATCACCAATACCACTAATGCCACTAATGCCCCTTATAAGGTGGCATTCATGTTCTTGACACCAGGACCAATGCCACTTTTACCCTTGTGGGAATTGTTCTTCAAAGGGCATAAAGGTCTTTTCTCCATCTACATCCACCCTCATCCGGATTACAACGACACCATCCCTCAAGATTCTGTCTTCTATGGCACAAGAATTACGAGCCAGGTCAGCTTTACAAATTACAAATTGTAACGCACCAATAAGAGTTGTTTGTTTACCTCTTAATATAGTTTCATTAAGAAGCAATCTCTGAATCGTTGAGAGACGAATATTGTTTGGTGAAAAAAAAAGTCTGTTTTTCTTAATGATTCTAAAACTCTTGAATAATTTTGTATCATGTGCCTCCTTTAACCATTCAGCGCCTTAGTTTTGTTATAAACAATTACCAAACAATTATATTTCATTTTGCACTATCATTCCGATCATTTAATCATTCTGCACCAAATCATTCAGCAACTGTTTGTAAGATATTATTAACGAATGATTTGAGTCTCATGTTGTTTTGCAGCCGTTGTATTGGGGTGATATTTCAATGGTAGATGCCGAGAGACGACTGCTAGCCAACGCTCTCCTCGACCCTTTAAATCAAAGATTCGTGCTACTATCTGAATCGTGCATTCCTTTATTTCACTTCACCACAACCTACAATTATCTCATTAACTCAAACTTGAGCTACATAAGCTCTTTTGACGACAAAAGAAAATCAGGGCGCGGTCGTTACAATCCACAAATGTCGCCCAACATCACGATCCAAGATTGGCGAAAAGGGTCTCAGTGGTTTGAAATTAATCGTGATCTTGCTGTTCGGATTGTTGTTGAACAAAAATATTATAGTATTTTCAAAGAATTTTGTCGTCCACCATGTTACAACGACGAACACTATTTACCAACGATGGTGAACATCTTATATGGGGAAATGAACTCAAACCGCACCGTTACTCATGTCGACTGGTCGATCGTGGGCCCACATCCGAGAAAATTTGGGCCGGTTGAGATTACGGAAGAGTTGTTGAATTCGATTCGATTTGGATCTACAGAATGTGTTTATAACAATAGCACGACGCCAATGTGTATGCTCTTTGCTAGGAAGTTTACACCAGCTACTCTAAAGCCGTTGTTAACATTTGCTTCTTTGTTGTTCGGTTTTTAATCCTTAAATTTCATTAAGAATTTTAATCAATGGCGTATCATATTTTTACATCAATTTCATTGAAATGAAAAAGGTGTCTTAAAAGAATACTTTGTAGGACACAAGTTTATAGGACCGAACCAAAAAGTATCATATCTAAAAGCGTTACAATAAGTTTATAGGACACTTTTATGCGTTTTAACAAGTTTTTCATGACGATTTTAAAATAAAGTGTCATATTAGTCATTTTATAGAATACTTTTGAAAAATGTCTTATAAACCTATCTTTTTATATGACATTTTTGTTTATAGGACACTATTTCAATTAGTACCGTATAAAATAGTTAATATGACACTTTATTTTAAAATTGTGTTAATAAATTTGTTAAAACGCGTAAATCTTATAAACTTATTGGAGTAAACTTCACTTTTGGTCCCTAAGGTTCAATGATTTCTTTGAAAATGAGACATAAACTTTAATAAGTCAAAATGTCGTCTCTCAGGTTTGGATTTTGTTTGAAAAATGGGACCTGGTCACTAACTCCGTTAAAAATGTCCATCAAAACCAGGGATAAAATCGTCATACATATATTTCCTCTCTTTTTGCAAATTTTAATTGTTTTTTTCTTATTTTTATTAAAACCACGGACTTTTAGGGGCCAACTCTGTAAAATTTACACCGCTTTCCAGTAATCTTCTCCGGCCAAATTGTAGTCATCTTCTCCGGCCAATTTCAAACCCAAATTCAAATCAACACCCAACCCTTTATATATTCACCACCACCACCAGCCACCACCATCATCACCAAGATCGACTGGTTTGGCCCATGTGGTATCGTTCCTATGGTCTCCCTCCTCCATTTTCCCCCAACCTTTACCCTCTGTTGTGTTAGGGCATTTCTTTCCTTTCTCGCTGATTGCATCCATGGATGGCTATTTATTTGGTGCGATGTATATATCAAAGCTTCAAACTCCAATTTTAAGTTATAAATCTTTAACGATTCAATTGTAATGGAACTCCAGAGACTAGAATCATCATTGTTGCTGCAAGTACTGTTGAAAAAGAGAGATCGATAGGGTGGAGTTTTACTGTGAGCTTTCATGGCACAGGAACGATGAGGTGAGGTCTGCTCACAGATGTAAAATGGGTTTGCAATCACCAAGACACAGCCCACATGGACCATATCACAGCAGCAAAAAGGACCAAAATCGGTAAACTAGACCTACAAAACTCATCCGAAATCACCGTCACCGATATAAAACTTAACAACAAAGTCCCATGTGGTTTTGTCACTGTGATTTGACTGATTTCGTTCCCGCGATTTGGCCCCTGTGATTTGCCCTTGTGACCACCTCCACTATGTGTTGGCTGGAGATGTAAGGGACCACAATGGGGTGGGGGAGAGGTTGGCCGAAGATATCATTGGGTGGGGAGAGGTTGGCCGGAGTGCCAGAGTGTCACTGGATACCATCGTTTTCAACCCCTGTGGGATCCGGCAACAACACGCCGATGGGTATGGGCTGAGAAACACACACACACACACAGTAACTTTACATCCGATTCCCCAACAGGGACTATCGTCCCCAACCCCTCCACTTAACATCTCCGGCCATGACCATCGGCATCTCTTCGTCTCTTAAACCACCGTGGCCAAATCACAGCAGCAATCAATTTGTAAAAGATCACAGATTTCGTGTTAAATCTTGGTTTTGGGTGCTCCAAGGCACAGTGGAATCCCGTCCTTGGGAGCCGAGGGACGGACCCAAGAATTTTTTGATACGGTGACACCATATAAAACGGTTGCACCTTTTATGAACATAATTTTTTTTACCTTACCACAGAGGAACAATACGGTGGCACGTACCTTCTAACCACCTCTTTAGGTCCGTTTATCTGCCGAAGGGAAAGAAAGAGGGACACCGGAAAAAAATGGAGGTGGGGGAAATAGAATCGCCAACACAAAAATGGGAGAGGTAGTTTGATGATTTTTACCAAAATAAGAAAAACAATCAAAAATTGGAAGAAAAAAAGGGAAAAGCGGTTGGACGATTTTACCCCTGACTCTAACAGATAATTTTAATGACGTTAATAACCACGTCCCATTTTCAAAGTAAAATCCAAACTTGAGGGACAAAATATTGATTTATTAAAGTTTAGGTCCCAACTTTCAAACAAATCACTAAATCTTTGGGACCAAAAGTTGTTTTAGATATGACATGTTTTGATTTGGTTCCATAAACTTGTGTTCTATAAGTATTCTTTTAAAACGTTTTTTCATTTTAGATGTCTTATAAAATCAATTTTGTTGTAATGCATAGTGTTATCTATCATTTTGTATTTGTTGGATACCACATCATATCGATCCTTGTTGTCTCGCATATTTCTGTATGATTGTGTATTGTTTATGTTACGTACATTGTAGGGTTACGTCATTTTTCTACTAATATCATGTTACATATCAAATTTAGAACATAGTATAAAGTTTGATTATAACGTTTTCATTGTATATTTCAAATAAAAAAATAATAAGGACGATTTGAATTTTGAATTTTGAATTTTGAATTTTGAATTTTGAATTAAAGAGAAACTTATACAAATACATAGTGCTTTATTGTTCTTGTAAATCTGATTAGGACCAACCCGTTGTGAATTGAGACTGATTGGAGTTGATTATAGTCGATCAAAGCTAGTTAGTGTTAATTTGTATGCCACTTATGGTCGATTAGTGTTTAGAGTTAAATTAGCGTTAGACTATCCACATCCCTGCGATCCATTTACACTTTCAATTGTGCCACATTAGCTTTTGCAATTACCACCTACACACCAGCAATTCATCTACACTTTCAAAAGTGGT